CAATGTTCGTAAAAGACTTTTTTTATCAGTTCGTACTTACTTTTTGTCATATCTGGTATTGTAAAATTTATTAAAGAACATTTAAAACATAACAATTGGTTTATCATTATGGTTATTGACGTTGTTTGGTAATGATGTCACTTCGTGGATGCATGTCCGTTGAATTCGAAAATGTGTGATTCGGTCGCACTGGAAGGCATGTCGCCACCAAATGATTTGTTAAAGAAACATTTTAAACATCGAGAGGTGGCAAAGGAACTAAACGTAAATATCTGTTGCTGGTTGACTTCAATAAATGCTTGAAAAGCAGATTCTTTCTCTCCACGTGTTACATCAGCCGGATGACATTGATAGCGACATTTCATTGTAAGCTGGAAACGAACGTGCTGGACAGTGGGTTAGCGAGTGCTTGCTTATAACCAACGACACTGATCCATGGTTTGGTCGTTTAACACAATTGTTACAGTCGAAAACAAAATTCATTTTGATTTTAGAAAACCTTTTTTTATTTCCGTATTAAATAGTACTTTTGGGCTCACTACTACCTTTTCCCCCGTCGCCTTGCTTGGAAATACCTCACTTTTGGCTTTAATGTTGAGCCAAGGTGATTGCTATGGTTTTATGGTAGAATAGACTTCTCACCCACAAATTCCAAACGAGAGTGGAACGTGACTTTTGTGTTGTTTGTTTATTTTTGGTCACTTTGTGTAACAACATCTTTCGGTTCAAAGTCTGATGACCCGAAACGAAGTTTACATGGTTACAAAATGACAACGAAGCGCAAATATAAATGTAAAAGATAAATTCACGGAGAAATACGGAAATTATAAATACTTATATTTCATTTTCCTACATTCAACTCAATGAAATCAGTTGAATTAAAATGAAGTATTTACAAAACCAGACTCAATACTTTAGTACTTAATCACAATATATTTATGCATGCTATTTAAGCTATAAAACATGATATTTTACCACCACATTCACAATACAATTAAGCAGCAGCGCATTTTTAACAAAATTATTTAAAAGAGCAAGCCCTGTCTCCCACCTGTACACACCATTGTATTACTCATACTTGTATTTACACTAGACCCGTCACTGTATTATACATGTCCGTCCTGTATTACACTAGAACCCGTCATTGTGTTGTACATGGACGTCCTGTATTACACTAGAACTCGTCACTGTATTATACCTGACATTCATGTTATACACTAGAACTCGTCACTGTATTAAACCTGTCCGTCCTGTATTACACTAGAAGTCGTCACTGTGTGATATCTGTCTGTCCTGTATTACACTAGAATTCGTCATTGTATTATAACTGTCAGTCAGGTAATACACTAGAACTCGTCACTGTAGTGTTCCTGTCAGTTCTGTATTACACTAGAACTCGTCACTGTATTATACCTGACATTCATGTTATACACTAGAACTCGTCACTGTATTAAACCTGTCCGTCCTGTATTACACTAGAAGTCGTCACTGTGTGATATCTGTCTGTCCTGTATTACACTAGAATTCGTCATTGTATTTTAACTGTCAGTCAGGTAATACACTAGAACTCGTCATTGTAGTGTTCCTGCCAGCCATGTAATAACCAGAACTTGTCACTGTATTAAACCTTGCAGTCCTGTAATTGACTAGAAGGCGTCACTGTATTATACCTGTCAGTCCTGTTTTACACAAAAACTCGTCACTGTATTATACACTCATCACTGTATTATACTTGTCAGTCCTGTATTTTACTAGAACTAGTCACTGAATTATACCTGCCAGTTTGTATCCCACTAGAACTCTTCACTGTAATACACTATAACTCGTAACTGTATTATACATGTCCGTCCTGTATTACACTAGAACCCGTCACTGTGTTATACCTGTCAGTTCTGTATGACACTAGAACTCGTCACTGTATTATACAATGTACCTGTCAGTCATGTATTACACTAGGAACTCGTCACTGTATTAAACATGTCCATCCTGTTTTACACTAGAACCCGTCATTGTGTTGTATATTTCCATCCTGTATTACACTAGAACTCGTCACTGTATTATACATGTCCGTCCTGTATTACACTAGAACCCGTCATTGTGCTGTACATGTCCGTCCTGTATTACACTAGAACTCGTCACTGCATTATACATGTCCGTTCCGTATTACACTAGAACTCGTCACTGTATTATACATGTCCATCCTGTATTACACTAGAACTCGTCACTGTGTTATACATTGTACCTGTCAGTCCTGTATTACACTAGAACTCGTCACTGTATTTTACAATGTACCTGTCAGTCATGTATTACACTAGAACCCGTCATTGTGTTGTACATGTCTATCCTGTATTACACTAGAACTCGTCACTGTGTTACACAATGTACCTGTCAGTCCTGTATTACACTCGAACTCGTCACTGTATTATACAATGTACATGTCCGTCCTGTATTACACTAGAACTCGTCACTGTATTATACATGTCCATCCTGTATTACACTAGAACTCGTCACTGTGTTATACATTGTACCTGTCCGTCCTGTATTACACTAGAACTCGTCACTGTATTTTACAATGTACCTGTCAGTCCTGTATTACACTAGAACCCGTCATTGTGTTGTACATGTCCATCCTGTATTACACTAGAACTCGTCACTGTGTTATACAATGTACCTGTCAGTCCTGTATTACACTCGAACTCGTCACTGTATTATACAATGTACATGTGCGTCCTGTATTACACTAGAACTCGTCAGTGTAGTATACCTGTCAGTCCTGTATTACACTAGAACTCGTCACTGTATTATACAATGTACATGTCCGTCCTGTATTACACTAGGAACTCGTCACTGTATTATACATGTCCATCCTGTTTTACACTAGAACCCGTCATTGTGTTGTATATTTCCATCCTGTATTACACTAGAACTCGTCACTGTATTATACATGTCCGTTCTGTATTACACTAGAACTCGTCATTGTGCTGTACATGTCCGTCCTGTATTACACTAGAACTCGTCACTGTATTTTACAATGTACCTGTCAGTCCTGTATTACACTAGAACCCGTCATTGTGCTGTACATGTCCGTCCTGTATTACACAAGAACTCGTCAGTGTAGTATACCTGTCAGTACTGTATTACACTAGAACTCGTCAGTGTAGGATACCTGTCAGTCCTGTATTACACTAGAACTCGTCACTGTATTATACATGTCCGTCCTGTATTACACTAGAACTCGTCAGTGTAGTATACCTGTCAGTCCTGTATTACACTAGAACTCGTCACTTTATTAAACATGTCAGTCATGCATTACACTAGAATACGTCACTGTGGTATACCTGTCAGTTCTATATTACACTAGAACTTGTCACTGTATAACACTTGTCAGTCATGTATTATACTTGTCAGTCATGTATTACACTGAAACTGCCAGTCCTGTATTATACTTGTCAGTCATGTATTACACTCTAACTTGTCACTGCATAACAACATTGCCCATCACTGTGTTATTATTTACAGTCTGTAAGTCTTGAGTATGCAAGCAGTGTCCACCATGAATACTTAATATATATTGTGCATGACAAACTCACTAATTTATTGTCACAATTGACGAGCCAATACCGATGTATGTTCTGACAGAAGAGTCAAATGCTTATAAAAAAAAAGAAAGATAAAAAGCAGAACAACTTAAATTAATTATTTACAGTTATTACTAAAACATTCTAGAGTATTATCCCCAAAGTACTGTAAGCAACCAAGTGTATAAATGCACGAGGCCACGTCGAGAGCGAAATGTTCTAGGCTATTGCTCAATTATACAGTACATAATTATTTCATTTCCCCATAATGAATAAAATAGTAGTATGGAAACTTAACGTCATTCAATAGATAGCCATGATGTACGTATACACAATAAAATGGTATTGAATTGACACAGCCGTTTTAGTTTAACGATTACACTTTCAGACGTAAGAAATGCTCTAATAATCCCAACACTAGCTACATTGATACAGCCTAGTTAGAAAACACTGGCTCGGGACACAGGTGAGATAAAAAATATATTATTATACAACATTTGATATAGCGCCCCATCTAGCGACAATAAGCCACTCTAAAGCGCTTTACAGTACATAGATACTGCATAACACCAACAGTTCGTGGGAACTTTTCTTCGTGGTTTGAAGCCATTTAGATCGTTTCGTGGTGGTACAGACTTTCGTGGACATCCTACATATTAACAAACAGTAGACATGTAAATCATTCAAATTCGTTGTATATATTTTCGTGATCAATAACAACCACAAAAACCACAAATATTTATACACAACGAATATTTCATGTTATACAGTATACAGGCTATACAGTTAACACATTTTGCATATACATTGATCACTACATTTTTTAAGGAACTCGCCGGGGCTGCCTTATCAGGCGCTAACTACTAGTCATATGCCACCTGGCTAATATCTCCCTATTTGAGTATACCTGCGGGTGTACTGGAGATGTATTATATCAAAGTAGCAAGCTAGAATATGTATGGCATGCTTTCTTATCACCAGTAGACAAATGAATCAGACATTGTAAGCGGAGGCATAACTCATTATCAACATTCGGTTGTTGTTATTCGAAACCAAACTGTAAAAATTGCACTGTGAATATAGGAGGAGAGATCTCTGAACTGTCGCTGTCGTACCTCACTCTCACTTACATATTCGAAATATATATGATACTCTCGATACATTATATCCATTGAACATTATTTCCATCTTCTACAAAGTGACATGTAGTAGGTTTACATTCAAAAACATACATTTTCACCTATTTCAATGAAATATAAAAATAGGGAACGAAAACTAAATTAGTTTTATATGTCTACTCATTCTCAGAAATAAATCGAAATGGGGAGGACATTGATAATACAAGAAAGCAATGTTTACAAAGGTCTGAGGTGTTAGTAACACAGTGGATTAAATGGTCATCCCGTGGTTTTAGTTGTAGCATCACGGGGACTCACAGTATGTGTGACAGTAATCGGTGTCGCTAAATGCATCAGCATAATCGAAAACCGGGTCATAACACATGCGTGTATGTGTTTCCTGAAGACTCCACTCGCTCAAGTCGAAGACTGTGCCGTTTGGCGTTATAAACTCCTTGCTTGTAACATCGACATATCCGTCCATCCAGACATAAAAATATTCGTCTGCAAAACGTAAGCGATTCTTGTCATCATGCTGATCTCAAATGAAATGGTTCATTAAATTTGTTTTGATTTTCAATTATGTAGTGCATTATCATCAATGCGCCATATTTGTTGTTGTGTTTACAATAGAATCGCCAATTTTTACAAAGTTCCATTCGATTTTTATATGAACTATTTTATCACAACAGTTACATCGAATTTTTAACAGAAATATAGATATGCTACTAAATGTGACCTTGTTATCATTCTGTGCTAATAGGTATTGGTTGTGACGTAAAGTTTCAGTCTTACTAATTATAAGTGTTGGCTGTGACCTTGTAATATTTCTAATTTACAAGGTGTTGGCTGTGACCTTGTAATATTTCTGTGTTACTAGTTGTTGGCTGTGACCTTGTAATATTTCTGTGTTACTAGGTGTGAGTTGTGACCTTGTTATACTTTTGTGTTTCTAGGTTTGGGGTTTGACCTTGTAGGCTGTAACCTTGTAATGATACTGTTACTAAGTGTTAGTTGTGACCATGTGATGTTTTTGTGTTGCTAGGTTTGGGCTGTGACCATATAAGGCTCCGTGTTACTAGGTGTGCGCTGTGACCTTGCAATATTTCTGTGTTACTTGGATGGGGTTGTGACCGTATAATGTCTATGTGTTACTAGGTGTGGGCCGTGACCTTGTAATATTTCGGTTTTACTAGGTGTGAGTTGTGACCTTGTTATACTTTTGTGTTTCTAGGTTTGGGTTTTGACCTTGTAGGCTGTAACCTTGTAATGATACTGTCACTAAGTGTTAGTTGTGACCATGTGATGTTTCTGTGTTGCTAGGTTTGGGCTGTGACCATATAATGCTCCTTGTTACAAGGTGTGAGCTGTGACCTTGTAATATTTCTGTGTTTCTAGGTGTGAGTTGTGACCGTGTAATATCCATATGTTACTGGGTGTGGATGTGGGCTGTGACCTTGTAATGTATATGTGTTACTAGGTGTGGGCTGTGACCTTGTAATGTTTCTGTGTTACTTGGTTGGGGTTGTGACCTTGTACTGTTTGTGTGTTACTTGGTTGGGGTTGTGACCTTGTAATGTTTGTGTGTTACTTTGTTGGGGTTGTGACCTTGTAATGTTTGTGTGTTACTTGGTGGGGTTGTGACCTTGCAATGTTTCTTTGTTACTTGGTTGGGGTTGTGACCTTGTAATGTTTCTGTGTTACTTGGTGTGGGTTGTGACCTTGCAATGTTTCTGTGTTACTTGGTTGGGGTTGTGATCTTGTAATGTTTCTGTGTTACGTGGTTGGGGTTGTGACCTTGTAATGTTTGTGTGTTACTTGGTTGGGGTTGTGACCTGGTAATGTTTCTTTGTTACTTCGTTTGGGTTGTGACCTTGTAATGTTTCTGTGTTACTTGGTTGGGGTTGTGACCTTGTAATGTTTCTGTGTTACT